GTATGGTAGACGCACCTGTGCGTGGCAGATGCACCTGACAGTAATATCTTAAGCCTACCCTGAGAATGACCCTGTATGGCAGATGCACCTGAATGTGTGTTCAGAGTTCCCAGTGCAGCCAGCCCAAAGATTCTTTGTATCTTCTTTTTTTTTTAACCAGAAACATGTGCACTTTATTGAATGCCATTGTAGAAAAGTGTGTGAGGATAAAGGGCTGATACAGGACTCCTCTCCGGGGGCAGGGTGAGGAATGGAAGGTGGAGCACGTGGGATACAGGTTATGGGCAGAGCTCCTGGCCTGCATGATGTCTCCTGATCTGTCAGTAGGCTTGGAAGATCAATACTGGGATGACGATGAGCAGAATGGTCATGAGGATGCCGAAAATCAGGGCCCAGATATTCAGGCACTTGACGGTGGAGGCGTAGGCCTGGGCCCCAGTCAGGTCACCAACCATCTTCCTGTCCCTAGACTTCACGGAGTAGGCAAACACTATGAAGCCCAGGCAGCAGGGGTTCATGAAGAGGGTGTTGAATAGGGACCAGACGACATGGTGGGGCACGGAAGTCTCGCTGCGGATGTGGATCACGGTGGATGTCGGGGGAGCAGGGTTGTGGGGCGCCCCCAGCACAGCCACCTCATGCTCCTCCTTGAGCATCTCATAGTTGGGGGGCTGGCCGCTATTGACAGGAGAGAAGAAGGTTTGGACCGTGTGGTTCATGGTGTCCTGCGAAGGCCAGCGGTGGTCGGGTTAGTGGGATGGTTCTCAGTGCGCCCTCCCTTTCCCCAGTAGTTTTGATTTCTCCAAGATTCATTTTATCTTTTTTTTTTTTTTGAGACAGAGTCTTACTCTGTCAGCCAGGCTGCAACTTCGGCCTCCTGGGTTCAAGCCATTCTCCTGCCTCAGCCTCCTCAGTAACTGGGGCTATAGGTGTGCACCACCACGTCTGGCTAATTTTTGTTTTTTTAGTAGAGACAGGGTTTTGCCATGTTGGCCAGGCTGGTCTCGAACTCCTGACCTCAAGTGATCTGCCTGCCTCGGCCTCCCAAAGTGCTGGGATTACAGGTGTGAACCACTGCGCCTGGCATCATTATATTTTATTTATGAGGAACATCTGAGAGCCTGTGCCATCCTGTGGAATGGGCTGTGCAGGGGATCAAGGCCCTTTGTTTTAGGTTAAATGAAGGTTGCCAGGTGGAGGTTGTTAGGGGAAGGGTACTAAATGAAAACACTATAGAAACTGCCTACTTTCTGTAGGTGCTGGTGCTTCTCTGGCCCAGCCTGCTGCCACCCGGCCATCCTGTATAAGTTCCTCTCAATAAACCCCATGTTTCATCTGTCGGCTTTGGGTCTCTTCTTCAGCCTCTTGAACCTGATGCCATCCCTACTGGAGTTAATAGGGGTCTGGCATGACACCAACTCTTTTTTTTTTTTTTTTTTTTTTTTGAGATGGAATCTCACTGTGTCACCCAGGTTGGAGTGCAGTGGCACCATCTTGGCTCACTGCAACCTCTGCCTCCCAGACAAGCGATTCTCCTGCCTCAGCCTCCGGAGTACCTGGGACCACAGGCATGCACCACAGCGCCTGGCTAACTTTTGTATTTTTGTAGAGACGGGGTTTCATCATGTTGGCCAGGCTGGTCTTGAACTCCTGACCTCAAGTGATCCACCTGCCTCGGCCTCCCAAAGTGCTGGGATTACAGGCATGAGCCACCACTCCCAGCCCAACACCAACTCTTGAGGTAAAAATGTTTAAATGAGAATGTGTATAAAGCCCTTGGCATGGGTAAGGGTGATGGTGAGGATAGAAATAATAGTAGCAAGAGAAACAGTGATGGTGACAAGCCAAATAGCAGTTGTGTACTGGTTTGGGGATGGGGGAGTGGACGGGAAGGGCTGTCCTGCAAGCTTGGGGCCCAAGGGAATCTGAGAGGAAGAGCTTCCTACTGTGGTTAACCTCTGAGGGCCTCATGATCCCAGGCTGGTTCCCTTCAACCTGCCTACAGCTCTGGAAATCCTCCCTTCACTCAGGACTCTTTTATTTTGTTTTGTTTTTTTAAAAATTTTTATTTATTTATTTATTTTTAGATGGAGTCTCGCTTTGTCGCCCAGGCTGGAGTGTAGTGGCATGATCTCAGCTCACTGCAACCTCTGCCTCCCGGGTTCAAGTGATTCTTCTCCTGCCTCAGCCTCCCAAGTAGCTGGGATTACAGGCACCCACCACCACACCCGGCTAATTTTTGTATTTTTAGTAGAGGTGGGGTTTCACCATATTGGCCAGACTGGTCTCGAACTCCTGACCTCAGGTGATGTGCCCACCTCAGCGTCCCAAAGTGCTGGGATTACAGGTGTGAGCCACCGTGCCCCGCCCACTTGGGACTCTTCATTGAAGCCATCTGAGTGGATTCTGTTGGGACCTCAACTGATCCAATACTTGACGATTGCTGTGTGTCCTTCTGTCGGTCTTTTGAGATGGTCCTCAAATCAGCGCCTTCTCTGAACTTCCCTTGGCTTCTTCCCTTGGCTGTAGACACTAACATTTCCTCAAGCACCCAGGTGTGACTTTTAGTCATGCCTGATTGATGCTTCCCTCTCCCTGAGCCCCCACATCCTGACACTCTTACCCCCGCCAATCCCTCATGCCCACTCCTTCCTTTCCCTTCCCCTGGCTTCTCCTTCCCATTCAGACCTTACTTCCTCCCGCTTGGGCTGTGACAGGAGTCTCCTTCTATACCCTCATTCAGATGAATCTCTCTAAAGCTGGGGCTTTCTTGTTTCTTTCTTTTTCTTTTTTGAGACTTTTTTAGACAAGGTCTCACTCTGTCACCTGGGCTGGGGTGCAGTGGCACGGCTCACTGCAGCCTCGACCTCCCAGGCTCAAGCCATTCTCCAGACTCAGCCTCCCAAGTAGCTGGGACTACAGGCACATACCACCATGCCCGGCTAATTTTTTGTAGAGACAGGATTTCGCCATGTTGCTCAGGGTGGTCCGGAACTCCTGAGCTCAAGTGATCTGCCCACCTTGGCCTCCCAAAGTGCTGAGACTTATAGGCATGGACCACCATGCCTGGCTAAAACTGGAGCTGTCAAGCTTTTTTGACCATGACTCATAATAAGAAATATATACATATACTTGAGACAGGGTCTCGCTCTGTTGCCTCGGATGGAGTGCAGTGGCATGATAATGGCTCACAATCACAGCTCACTGCAGCCTTGACCTCCCAGGCTCAAGTGATCCCCCCAGTTGCTGTGTACCACCACACCTGGCTAATTTTTTATTTTTATTTTTAGTAGAGATGAGGTCTTGCTATGTTGCCCAGGCTGGTCTCAAACTCCTGAACTCAAGCGATCCTCCCAAAGTGCCGGGATTACAGACATGAGCCACTGTTCCCAGCCAAGAAGTATGTTTTACCTTACAACCCAATACACACACACAAAACTCACAAAGCAATACTGCATTCTGTTTTATTCATGATCCACTAAATTGACTTTGTGGCTCAATAATGGGTCATATCCCACAGTCTGAAAACACTGCCCCAAAGCATAGCTCCGATTATGTCACTGCTCCAGGGAAAGCTTTCAATTATCTCTAGCACCCACTGAATTGAGTACAAGTTTAACCTGGCATTAAAGGTCTTGTATAGGATGACTCCAAGCTGTCTGTCTAAACATTTCTCTCCCTACCTCCAATTATGCCATTTAAACTGTCAGGGTCTTAGTGGTCTAATATATTGCATGGGAATAAAAATACTTCCCTAGGCTGGAAGCTAGGGGTAGACCAGATGGTCCGTTTACTTTCCTTTATCTATAAGAGCTATGACTCTGGGATTGTAAGGACCCAATATCAATGACCAAGCACATCTCCTCTCTGGTGTCTGTGCATTCTCATGTCTTTATCTGTGTTCATGTTGTTCCCTTTAGTCACTGTCCTCCATCTCCCTCTATCTTCCTGTGTTGAAATCCCAACAAAGTCCAACAAGAGGAAAGGACACAGGAAGGAAAGGTAGGAACTTACCTGAGGAATGAAATTAGCACTGAGGCTGGAGACACGAAGGCTGGCATGTTACCTGAGATGGGCTGGGCTACATCACACCAAACCAAGAGCCTCAGGCTGAGATTTTATCTTAAATTGAAGTCATAGGGAGTCAGGGCTAGCTTCTGGGCAGGTGTGACATGTTCAAAGGTGAGGTTGAGCCAGGGTCGGTGGCTCATGCCTGTAATCCCAGCACTTTGGGAGGCTGAGGAGGGTGAATCATTTGAAGTCAGGAGTTTGAGACCAGCCTGGCCAATGTGGTGAAACCCTGTCTCTACTAAAAATACAAAAATTAGCTGGGTGTGGCAGTGGGCGCCTGTAATCCCAGTTACTCGGGAGGCTGAGGCAGGAGAATTGCTTGAACCGGGGAGGCAGAGGTTGCCGTGAGCCAAGATCACGCCACTGCACTGCAGCCTGGGCGACAGAGTGAGACGCTGTCTCAAAACAAAAACAAAAACAAGAAAACATGGTGAGGTTGAAGGCTGATTTACGTGGAGCTGGGGACATAAGAGTTTACTTCAATAGTACAATGGACACAGCCTGGATATAATTAGTATCAGGCCAGACCACGGATGAATCCTAGAAATCTAGGCAAGCAGCATCTGGGAGCTTTGGCTACAGATGAGCATGCTGGAAAGCAGGAGGGACACTGTGTCAAGGTAAAAGAGACAGGCCTGAGCAGTGAGTGCCTGGCTGGAACATAGTGCAGGGACACAGGCGGGGACTGGGACTTGGGAGCAGGAGGCCATCCCTGGGAGGGCTGATGAGAGCTGAGCTTCTGACAGCAAATAAAATGTGTTCCTGCTGTGACGGGATACCTAGAAAGCACTCTAAGGGGGGCGGGGGAGGGGGGAGGGATAGCATTAGGAGAAATACCTAATGCAAATGACGAATTAATGGGTGCAGCAAACCAACATGGCACATGTATAAATATGTAACAAACCTGGATGTTGTGCACAGGTACCCTAGAACTTAAAGTATAATAAATTAAAAAAAAAAAAAAGAAGAAGAAAGTACTCTAGGGAACCCATTGCTTGTCAACCATCTGGCACCAAAACCTAAGCTCTGAATGATGCCAAATTACCACCAAAGTCTCTAAGGGACAGATGCAAATTCTCTCTCCTGGGACCTAGCACAGTGCTTGCACAGAGCAGGTCCTGACAGGTTTTTGTTGAGTAGAATTGCAAAGGGATTATCATCGTTATCATCCCATGGATAACACTGTTTGCTTCTTTGCCTTCATGGGTTGACTTTTTTTGTGTCCTGGGCCTGAATTGTCTTCTAAATACTAGAGCTCTGTGGCCGATTATGTTAACATTCTGATTTCATTAACCTAAATGCATTTCTAGATGAAAGCTTTGATATGCAGCTTCAACAACTGGTGCCGGTGTGAACTGGCAAGGCCCCAGCGTTACTGTGCTGTCGTCGTCTTTCATCCCAAAGCCCTTGAGGAGCAGTGAGAACTCAGCGCTGTGGTGAAACATTTCCTATGAATAGTCATGAGACTTGCTTCCTTCTGGTGCAGAAGAAACTGTTACCAAGCAAGGGCTGGAGAAGCCAATACTATGGCAATGGCTTCTGAGATAAGAAAAAACCTTATCACCAGTTGACTGGCAAAGACACAGGAGGCAACATTCAACTCGATTGCCAGGATCTGGGTGGTTGGGTCAAATTTTTGTGGCATTTCTAACTAGGCCCAGTCCCCCATGGCAGCCAGTCTGCTATGCTGGCAGTGCTAACAATGAGGAGGTTAAACTCATCCTATGGCACGTACCAGGGCAATTTTGTCTGTGTGACATAGTCAAAGGTGAGGCTGAACACCCTAACAGCTGTTCAGCTGAGGTTGTAACAACTTAGGCAATGGTTAATTGGTTTGAGCCGGTCCCATGGTTACAAAACCAGCACTATTATTTTTCTTTTCATATACTCTCTTCCAGATATGCCATAAACATTCCGGTCCCTCTCACCAACGTGTCAAGGGACTCAGTTGCTGAGTGCGTCCACTCAAGGAGCAGTGTCAGGAGGAAGCTGAGTCCTGGGCTGGAGCTGCTGCATCTGTGTGGCTCCCACTGTCATTTCAGCAGCCCCGACACAGGTGGGGGAAGCTGGCTGGGGTCTGTTTGGAGCAGCATACTCTTGGGGTGAACAGGGAACATTTGACTGCCAGGAAAAGGGTGTAAAACACTTTCCCTTGGTAATTTCTCCATGAGCACGGGTTAGTCAGAATCCATGAGTCCTGCTTATTCATTCACACTCGCTAGAAGCTCCTTTGCTAACACAGAAGCAGAGGGAAGGCTGGCCCATTCCACTTTTGAGGCAAATAGTATACTAAAAAAAGAAAAAGTACAAATGGGCCAGGCACGGTAGCTCATGCCTGTACTGCCAGCACTTTGGGAGGCTGGGGCGGGTGGATCACTTGAAGTCAGGAGTTCAAGACCAGCCTGGTCAACGTGGTGAAATGCCATCTCTACTAAAAATAAAAATTAAAAAAAATAGCCGGGCATGATGGCACATGCCTGCAATCCCCGCTACTCGGGAGGCTGAGGCAAGAGAATTGCTTGAACCTGGGAGGCGGAGGTTGCAGTGAGCCAAGATCACACCACTGTACTTCAGCCTGGGCCATCTCAAAAAAAATTTTTTTAAAAAGTACAAATGACGAAACAACCTTTTTAAATTGTGGTACATTTTAACGTTTATTTTTAAAATTAAAACTGTATAATGAATATTGCCTTTCCCTCCTATAGGTATACCTCTGTGTCTGAGTTCATAACCTCACTTGCAGATAGCTCAAAAGCCCGTATTAGAGGCCCTTTATGAATCTGGTGACTGGATCTATCCCCACCCATGGCTGGTCCCTTGTTCCCATCCCCATCATGTCCCTGCCATGTCATGATGGTCAGAGGGCTGAACTGTGGCTTATTACGTATGTCTTAGACTAATGCCAGACTATCCACTTCCTGCGCAACCACGGAGGAGACTCCCTTTGACTTCAAATTGAGCCTGGAGCTTTGATCTGCCCTGAGAGGCTCACACTCAGCTGCAGGACTCTGTTCTGGTCTGAAGCAACTCTTCCGGGTTGGGAAAGTCTTTCCTACCCAGCCGACAGTAAACCACGCTATTTGGCTTGAGTTATATCTATGGTTTCCCCACATGCACTAGGATTGTGGGGAACACCCTCTATGTATATGCTTGGACATGCTCATCTGCAGCAATAGGGAAAGAAGAGATTCCCCAGGGAGCCTCTTTGGCTTGGACACGTGATAAACTCCTCTAAAGCCACAGAGTCAGGAGTAGGAGGTGCCGTGATGTCCAAACACAGAAGCACATGATTTGATTTTCATTGTGATAATATGAGGAACTGCCAGCGCCCTTTTTTTAAAACAACAGAGACCACAATACGAATACATTTACCAGATTTTGGTTTTAGAGAACAATGGACCTGAGGGACTCATTTCTTTGGAATCTGCTTCTTCTACAGCTTGGAGTTTTGGGGGGACCCAAACTGGGGCCTCCCATAAGGCCAACCGATGTCTGAGGCAAAACCTTGCTGGATTTCCTTTCTAAGACCTTTTCTCTAAGAATTTCAAATTTGTTTTGAGAGAGTTAAGGAGTTAGCACTTCCCTGACAACACTGAAGAAAAAAAGGGCTTCCATTTCTTCTGGAAGTGGAAGATCTGAGCCCTGTGGCCTGTTCTGCATCCTTGGTGGTGGACTGATTCCTACCCCAGCGTTCACAGACAGCTGAAAATGTGAAGCGATGCTGAGGAACAGGGAGTGACGCAGTTAGAGCTCGCTAAAGAACTCGGTAACCCAGAAATTCTTCATGTGTAAAAATGCCTACCCGTTCAGAAACAGCAGATGAGAAGGAGCAGGCAAAATAACATAGAGTCTCTAATATTGCTAAAGGAATAAAAATACTTTTTTCACATCAATTTCATCTTAATTACAAAGATGCATGAATGTGATGATGTAGCTGTTGCTATTGTGTTTTCTGGCACTCAGCTATGTTATTTTGTTTCCTCATGGGCTTGTAGCAAAGGAAAAAAATTTTAAAAAAATTTTAAGTCTAAAGGGGAAAAAAGACACAAGTGGAAGGAACATTTTTTTCTTCAGACCAGATCACACTTGCATTTGAAAAAGTAGCACATCTCTTAACATATTTATCTTAGGAAGCTTCCACCCCCCAGGAGAAATGCTAGAAATTATGGCTAGTTACTTTGTATTTATCTTGGGTGTTAGCTATTGAAAGAAGAGAAAATTATAATGGCAGTACCTGTCTGTTATTAATTACTGAGCTTCAGAAATCCTGTCACATGGCTTCTAGTGTCTCCTTCTAAAGGAAATAATGACCATGGCCTCCCCTTCCTTACTTTGCCTTTAAGAATGAAAATTCTGGTATAGCTTTTATATTAATTCTGGGGAATTTGATCATGACTATAGCAGTTCCTTCACTGCTGTTCCCATCACCCTCTTTCTCACCAGCTAAGGTGATTTTCTCCATCTCCCACCATCAAGGACATTGGCAGACTGGGCAAAGTGGTGCACCCTGTAATCCCAGCACTTTGGGAGGCTGAGGCAGGAGGATCGCTTGAGCCCAGGAGTTTGAGGCTGCAGTGGGCTGTGATTGCACTCCAGCCTGGGCCACAGAGAAAGACCCTGTCTCTAAATAAATGGAACACTGGCCCTGGTGACTCCTTCATATCTAGGAAAAAGAGATGTTCTGGCATTTATTCACTTTATTTGGCATGTATAAATTCAGTGCCTGGTATTCTGCTAGGCACTGGGGATAAAAGAGTGACCAAAAAAGGACAGAGCCCTATTGTTAAGTGGTAAGAATCATACCAATAAATATGACATGAAACTCTGACAAATCCTATTCTTTCCAAGGAGAAATCCTCCTTATTCTTAACTCATCCCTTCCTAACCCCTTTGTCCCTCTGCAACTGCAGTCTTAACCTGTTCACCTTTTCCTTCCTCCCAGTCAGCAACATGCTCCAGTTTCCCCTTTTAACCCTGCGTCCGAATAGTCTTATCTTCCTCACCTTTTTAGCCAATAAACCGTTAAGTTGGTGCCCACTGACTTTCTCCAACCTACTGGAAATGGCCACAAAGGCCTCCGCGTTACTGAATCCTCACTGCAGCCTTCATTATTGCTCCCGATCTCTCCGCAGTGTCTGACGCCCTGACTACCTCCACCTGGAAACGTTCTTCCCCCACCACACAAGCCTCTCTTCTTTCTCCTTACACCACATGTGGACTGGTGTTCCCCCACGTTCTAGTCTTGACCCTCTTCTATCTTCTGTCCATTCTGGGAGATGGCACTGAGTTTCAAGCCTTCAATGACACTCTCTCCTACACCTCCAATTTGAGTTTCTCCTGAACTCAGACCCATGTTTTCATGTCAGCCTTTACACTTGAATGCCCTGTTGGGCTTCAGACCTGAAGACGTGCAAAACAAGCCTCATGGTTTTCCCTCCCAACCCACTATTTCTCTGTTCTCCATCACCATCCACAGCATGGCTTTCCATTGAGGGACCCACGGCAGAAACCTCCAAGGTATCTGTGACTACATTTTTTTTCACCTTATTGGGACATTCTATCTGCCATCGTGTCCACCGAAAATGTCTGTCACAATGAGAGATGACAAATAGGTTTCATCTAATGTACCAGCTGTGACTGATTGGCAGTGGCTGCCCGGAGCACTGTGTTGAGAAAGATTCTGAGGCAGCATCCGACCTCAGCAAGAAAAAGTAGTGTGATTTGTTATCGACATCTGTCTTGGGTGGTAGAAGGCATGCCAGGTATTTGCCATCTGGCTGCGAACTTAACCAGTAAGCAAATAGAGATAGGCTTCTGTAGGTCCCATCTCCGCTGCCCTGGGTTCTCTCTTAGAGTGTTGCAATAACCTCTCTTGGTCTCCTCCTTTCTGTCTCTCTTCCCCTCCACCCATCCAGCCCTTGCATTATTCCTCTAGAGCAAATTTATCATACTAGGTTAAAGTACGTGGCATTAAAGGCCATTGTGAATCTGACTACAGCACCCCTCCCTTCCTCCATATGTCCCGTGTGCTCCCGGATCAGGTAGTAGAGCATCATGGTTCACATCATGGACTCGAGGCCTTCCTGCCTGGTTTCAAACCCCAAATCTTACACTTACCAGTTGTGTGACTCTGATTAAGTTATTTGACTCTGTGCTTCTGTTTTCTCAGCAGCAAAATGAAAATATCTACCTCATAGGGTTGTTGTGAGCATTAAATGAGTTAAAGTATAGACAATGCCCAGAATATCTGCGGGCATATGATAAACCCAGTGTCAATGTTCAGTCTTATTGCTACCACACCCGCACCCTAATCCTCATTGGCTTTGGTCAGGCTGTTTCCATGGGCCCTGCCCCACCTTTCCTCATGCCTAGGAAGAATGAAGTGTTCCTTGTGTTGTCCTTCTATAGCAGGGGTCATATTCCTCTACTCCAGCAGTTACTGCATTGCACTGGGGTTAGTTGTTCTTGTGTGTGTCTGATCCAACAGTTGGGGGATCCTCGAGGGCAGGGAACATGTCTTTCCTACTTTTGTGTCCTCTACTTCTTTTTTTTCCTTTTTTGAGACGGAGTCTCACTCTGTTGCCAGGCTAGAGTGCAGTGGCACAGTCTTGGCTCACTGCAAACTCTGCCTCCCAGGTTCAAGGGATTCTCCTGCCTCAGTCTCCCTAGTAGCTGGGACTACAGGCACTTGTCACCACACCTGGCTTTTTTTTTTTTTTTTTTTTTTTTGTATTTTTAGTAGAGACGGGGTTTCACTATGTTGGCCAGGCTGGTCTCGAACACCTGACCTCGTGATCCGCCCGTCTCAGCCTCCCAAAATGCTGGGATTATAGGCGTAAGCCACCGCGCCCAGCCTGTGTCCTCTACTTCTACCAGAGTAGAAGTCTGGAGGACAGTAGATATGACAATGTGTGAATGATGACATGATAAGTAACTGAATGAATGAATGAATGAATTGGCAGCAGAGGCAGAATGAGCACTGGGTGCTAATAATGGTTATAGTGGAAACTTGTTTATCTCTTAAGTGAGATAATAAACAAAAGTTTACTTCCTGGAATACTATCTCCATGGTAGATAAATTCTTTCTTGAATACCAGTACATCTCCAGTAATCAGTTACCCAGCTCTGACTTTTCCTTTGCCCCTAGAAAGGGCTTTCGTTAACTAAAATGTAATCGTGCTCATTCTCATCTCTATAAACATAAATTGTACTTTTTGTGGCCTAGTTCCTCCCCCACCTGTAATTCTATGCTAGGTATAGAACAAACAGGAACTTCTAACTTGATTGTAAGATCTCTGCCCTTTACTCTCAATGGCACCACGGGCCAGTAGTGCTGAGGATTTCATGATTGCTGCTAATGATAATGAGGCATTTGGAGAGCTCTGACTTGCAACCTGGATGAGAAAGAATTAGCTCTTTTCTGAAAACTACCTGCCACCGTTTGCTGCTCCATGCTCTTGATATGATTTAGATTGTGCATTTGTAGTCAATAGACTTCCACAGTTTATAGTAAACAGCCAGACTTAACTAAACGTCTAACTTCTCTGTGAGGTTTGCAACCTTGGTTCTGCCCTTGGCAGAAGCACGTGGCACGCTCTTCAAAAGTGCAGAGAGGGGCAAATCCTCCTCCATGTTCCCTGATTTTCTGCACAAACCAGATCTCCCCAGCTCATTCCACAGAGATATTTATGGTTGCTGGCTAGCAGACATATTGAAAATATGCATGGCACGTTGCCAATGTGCAGATCTGGAAGAAACAGGAGCCTGTCAGTCCTGTTCCACCCCACCCTGCCACAGCCCTGGCAAGCCCCATGGGTCAGTTTGCGCTGTGAACCCTCCCACTCCATTGCAGGCGATGCTTATCAATAGCAACCGTGGCCTCCTCCCTCTGCTCTCTATAACATAACAGGCCGGCAGTGCCCAGAGGATTTTGACTATTCCAGTTTTAGTAAAAGTCTGGGGGAAACCCACGTAAGCAAGTCTATTGTTCTTGAGGAGAAAAAGAGTATGACTTTGGTGTAGAGAAAAGAGGAGGACAGAATCTGCAGAGGGGTAGGAGGCAGGACGACAGTCTTGGAGAATGGCACAGGTGGAGGCCAGAATATGGTGGATCCAGGCAAATCTGAACTGACAGTGGGCCAGGATGCGCTGCCTCGCAGGGAAGGTGCAGCCCAACCCCAGCTTCCCAGGAAAGACTTCCCCCTGAGTTGTAAGCCGGCAGTGTGGGATTCAGTGGGTGGACAGTGTGGGATTCAGTGGGGAAATACTACGACATGAGTCAAACAGCAGTAACCATGGTGACAACACTGAAAGCCAGCTCTCTCTGGCTCATGTCTCCACCAGCACACACACAGGACCCAGCCCTCCACATTTAGGTGGCCTGCAGTGAGGCCCCATTCGGGTCTATATTCTGTATGAGGGCTCCTTGGTGGCAAGTGACAGAGATCAGCGTCAGCAAGCCTGAGCAGAAAAAGGATGCGAAAAAGGGAGGTGGGCCGGGCCTGGTGGCTCACACCTGTAGTCCCAGCACTTTGGGAGCTGAGGTGGATGGATTGCTTGAGTTTGCAGGAGTTCAAGACCAGCCTAGATAACATGGTGAAACCTCATCTCTACAAAAAATACAAAAATTAACCCGGCAGGGTGGTACGCACCTGTAGTTCCAGCTACTTGGGAGGCAGAGATGGGAGATTCACTTGAGCCCAGGAGGTCAAGGCTGCAGTGAGCCATGATCGTGACACTGCACTCTAGCCTGGGCAGCAGAGTGAGACCCTGTCTCCAAAAAAAAAAAAAAAAAAGTGTTGGGGGAAGTTGGGGTTGGATTCCTTGGATTTAGAATCTGAGGAAAAAAGAGGAAGGGTGGCCGGGCGCGGTGGCTCAAGCCTGTAATCCCAGC